GAAGAGCAAGCCAAGACTTGGGCTTTGGATGGAGAAGAAGATGCTCACTTGCACTGGAGTCCAACGCTTTTTGCACCGTGCTGTGGAAGAATGATGTGTAATAGTATCTTTCCCACAGTACTTGATCCCAGTCCCACTCAAAGGAAAGTTGTATTGGCTGCCACTAAATGATAAAGAATAGCATATGGAAGATGTTTTTCAATTAATGCTAAGGTCAAGAACCTTGTGGGAGAAGCAATGTAAGAAAAAGACTCCCACATGTATGACAGCCTCTGGAATTCTCAAGAGTTTTGAGATACAGAAGAACTTGACGGTGCATGGAAATGCTGCTAGTGGATCTGGGTTTGATATTTGGCTGTCAGGCATGTATTAGTGGGGTATCTCTATAAGCTATAATTTAATTAACTGAGAACTTTACTTCTGCAGCTCTYTAAACTGGAGCAGTTAGGAAGCCTGGTGTTTTGTAATTCTGTTTTACTTAATTAAAATACTCTAGTTGGCTGTGTGGAGAGATGTGTTGCCCTGTTGTTGGCAAATGATGAAAGAAGGCAGACATCATTAGTATACATGATTTCTTCCTCAGCCTCCACCAGAGCCTGGGCCTCTGTAATTCCTTTGGAATAATTATAATATCTCTCAGTGATTTTTCCCCCCATATTCAGCTGCATAGATTCCCTCTTACAAGTGTTAAAATGTTTGGATGTCTGTAAGATGCCTAGGCTTTTGCAGGCTTCATTCAGAAATGAATTCCCACTGTTAGATCAAAGATTTCTTTCAGCCACTGCAGTTCCTATAATACTTAACCGTTACCAAAGGATCATCTTTTCATGCTTGTCAGCAAAGGGATATTTCTCATGATCTCAAATCTTACCGAAGAGCAAGATTTCACTGGGATCCTTTCATAATTTTTCTTGGGTTTATGCCATTGCAGGAGGGAGTGCATAAGAAGTGGCATCTGGCAATACATCTGTATCCAGTCCCTGTTGATGTCCTGAGCTCTGTCTTCCCTGGCTTGCTCTTCCCTTTGTACACAGTTTGACACATCTGGTACCCTCCTGACAGGCAATCTGAGCAAATACTTCCTCTTCTTGCTCCAACGCAGGCTGAGTAACTTTTTAAGTGTCTTTATCTTCTGTTGATCTCATTGCTACACCAAATTTATGTGGTGTTCCAATGTGGTCCTTTTTCCTTTTCTTTTCAATCTGCTAGCAGCTCTCTGACAATTATCTTTTGAAGAACCTTGAGCAAATGCGAATCAGTCGCATAGATTGAAAACAGCCTTCTTGAGACCAGGAACCTGGAATTTGGATCCTTTGCAGAGCACGGGAAAACAAAAATTAGACAAATGTTGATGGGTACACATGACAGACCTGTTCTTCAAGGGTTTTCAGGGAAACACTAGTGCAGCAGGGACCCCAAGGCTAGTTCTCTGATAGGCAGCTCATGAGCTGAAAGTCTTTTGTTTTGTTGTTGTTATTCCACATCACTTTGACATTCTTGTCCCTCTTAGAGTGATTTAGACCGATTCTCACTTTCAGGTGCCCAAAGGAGTATTTTTCTTTCTGTCTATCTGTACTTCCTAACATTGAGATGTACAAGAGAGAATACTTACCTGCATGTACCTATTTATTTGGTGAAAGACATTTCTTCTGCGTATAATACAGTGTAGTAGAAACATTTGCCACCATAAGTTCCACCAGTTCAACCTGCTGGAAAGCAGCTCCATGGAGAGGGATTTGGGAGTCCTGCTTGACATCAAGTTAACCATGAGTCAGCAGTGCCCTCGTGGCCAAGAAGGCCAATGGGATCCTGGCCTGCATCAGGAGGATGTTGCCAGCAGATGGAGGGAGGGGATCCTGCCCCTCTCCTCAGCTCTGGTGAGGCTGCACCTAGAGTATTGGGGACAGTTCTGGGCTCCCCAGGATAAGAGGGATGTGGAGCTTCTCGAGAGGGTCCAGTGGAGGGCAACCAAGATGATTAAGGGACAGGAGCATCTCTCGTATGATGAGAGACTGTGTGAGTTGGGCCTGTTTCGCCTGGAGAAGAGAAGATTGAGATGGGATCTGATCAATATGTACAAATACCTGAGGAGAGAACGTAGGGAGGAAGGTGCCAATCTCTTCTCAGTGGTGGCCACTGATAGGACAAGACCCCTTGGGTGTAAATTGAAACACAAGCAGTTCCATTTCCATATGAGGAAGAAGTGTGAGGGCAAGAAGAGCCCTGGAACAGGGTACAGAAGTTGTGGAGGCTCCTTCTTTGGTGATCTTGAACACCAGCCTTGATGTGACCTTGTGCCATGTGCTGTAGGTGTTCCTGCTTGAGCAGGGGGATTGGACTAGATGATCTGTAGAGGTCCCTTCCAACTTCAACAATTCTGTGATTCTGTGATTAGCTTGAGGGTGCAGCAATCACGAATAAGGTAGATTCCTCAACCGATACTCATGTAGTTCAGTCACACCAGTGTACATACGGGAAGTTAAACAATGTGTGTGAAGAGATGCTTGAGTATTTGCTTTGTTCTTAGCTCTAGAATCYAGAGAATTCTTAAATTCAGGGAATTCTTTATTTTGTCTTTTAAACATTGCACACTCCATCATAATACTAGTTTGATGATTTCTTAATACAGAACAATTTGAATGACAAGGTAGGTTTGAACAAACTGTATCACCTTCCAAGTGTTTTTTCCCCCTGTTAATTAAAAACAGGTAACTGCTTTCTGATATCAAATTTCTGAAATATTCTCATGAATAATACAGCCCTATTTTTATTTATATTTTAACGTGAACTGAAGTCTTCACATGTAAGGGCAAAGACTGGCAAATAGGCATTCACAAGAGCACAGCAGGTTTTAAAGGCTGCTCTTCAAAATAAAAATCTGTAGAGCTCGCTGGGAAGTTTCCCCGTATTTATTGCCAAGCTTTGAATGCATTTGCGGCCTTGATAATGATCTGAAGAAGCCTCTCTACTCTCCTCTTTGTTTATCACATCCCACTATTATTTGAAGGGCAGATGCAGCAGCACAAAGGTAACATACAGCCTGAGAGGGGCAGCTTGACAATCATTCAGCTATAATTAATGAAGAGAAAAACACAAATATGACGGCCTGTCTTTTAGGAATGAACATTTAGGAGTTCCTCAGGCCCATGAGAACTCTTGCTATGCTGTTAAAACAACCTTGCTTTAAGAAGGCCATAGCATTTAGGGCATCTTTGAAATGAGAAGTTGAAGGAAACCATMAAAACACAAGCAAACAAATAAGCAAATAAAAGCTGTATTTTACTATGTGGACAGCAGGAAGACTCCTCAGGGAAGAACGACTAAATAGAGCTTTCCTGACTTCAGAATTTGCTGGTCTTCCGAAAATAGAGCAAATATTAGTAAGTATTGCTTAAGTTTATTATCTCATCTGGAAGAGGGGAGATGGACAGCCCCTCCTTGCCAAAGGATAACAGCCACAGCTTTCCCATTGAAAGCAGTAGGCATGAGCCAGGCATCCTTTGTCTAGAGAGCAGTCATGAAAGTATGAGGAGCAGCTACGGAGGAACAAGAAGGAAAACAAAAACAACTTTTCTGGCACCTCCCTGAGAACCTAATAAAAAAACTAAAAAACCTTATCATCTCAGCTTCTATTTATTTGCAGCAACAAAGATGCACAACAGAGATGGCAGGAGACCTGGCCCATGGGTTAAGCTCTGCTCTGTTCTTTTTTTTTTTTGTAGTTTTTCCAAAGCAATGCAGGAGAGCAAACCAACTTTAAACACCAGCTTCACACCCTGAGCACGGGAGGATGAGCCGGGAATGCAGAATCAGCAAAAGCCTCCAACGCCGTTTGACCCTGTCCTTCCTCTCTGCTATGAAAATATGGAAATTCCTCCTGTGAAAAATGAGAAGTTGAGGCAGCACTTTGTGAGAGGTAGCATGGTGAGCTTAGAGGTGGCTTTCTTCCTGAAAGGTTTTCCATTTTAATTCTATTTTCTCCCACTCTCTTTTCCAGAGAGAGAGTGTGATAGGAGAATGACATCAGTTTGTCACCATACTCTACATACTCTATACTCACCTCCTGTGGCTCTGCTCTTCAAAATTCCTGCAGTCTATCTGCGAAATGGCAAACTCCCAAAGATCTGTGCTCTGCTTAGCTTTTCAGCAAAATGAAGCTCTTCATATCTCATAATATCYACACCTGTAGTGGACCTGAACAAAGAAGTTTTGGGGAGAAGTTGGTTAAGAAAGACATCAACTGTGCTACAGGTCTGTGACACATGGTGGTCACATGCTTTTATCTGCTTTTAAGACAACGGAAGAAAACAGAATCAAGCCTATTTTTTGACTACTCATGTATTTATTTGCGACTTTAACATGCAAAAACAGTATAACAATTATAGAAAGTAGAAAAAATACAGCACTGGAAAAAATATTCATGCAAAATGAGGCTCCTACTTGAACTATCCTTCACAATCACCGGTGTTATTTGTCCCAATATTTATAGTTCATCATTACAACTGCCAAAATTGGCAACCATCAGGATTGTTGTCTCAATTAAGGACAGTAAACAGATTGTCCCWTTTTTTTTTTTAATGAAAAAATCTAAAATGTAATACTTCACAGTTTAACATGTTTATTCATTTAAATGGGCTAAAAAATAGTGGTGTGACATCTGCTTCTGAGACACTGGTACCTAACATTTTGGCTGTCTCCCCACCAATTTTGTTATTTTTAAGGGGAAGGCGGGGCAGGGAAGGAAAAACATAGTATTCCATCAACTAAATACACTGATAAATTATAAAAATTATTTTCCACTCTTGGAAATGTGTAGAAATACATGTAAAGAAGAATGTACTATGAAAAACCAGGAGGACAACAGTAAAAGTGCTGCAAAGAATCTCTACTGGCTCTTTCAGGGAAGAATACTATAAGCATAAGATCACAGACAATCTTTGCCAGTTTATTCATCTCATGGCTTCATTTCCCAAAGTGCAGGCGTAATCCACTACAAACTCTTTTAAGAAGCTGTTGTCTTATTGATGTGCCATATTGTTATTTTCTTAGTCATAAGCACCACTAATTATTATGCTACTGTACATAAAACTTGAAATGTGATCAAGATTCACAATATCCTGTTTGTTGGCACTCTAAATTGCATAGTCTATGTTTCAAATACAATCCTTTACTGAGAATCGTCCTAAATGCATCTGATCAATAAGGACTCAATTGTACCCTATAGGTACAATTATATACCACAGAAAAATGAATCATTGCTCTGCTGGCAGCTGCTAGCAATGTTTTCCTCTGTGAAAGGGCAGCCTTCAAAAGTTGTCCCTATGTTAGCAGATAACCCTCTTGCATGGCTGCAATTTTCATGGAGATGGCACTGGCTTTTTCATAGGGCTTCCACTCTGCCCTCATGGGAAAAGGATTGCTTAAAAGCTGTTTGTTTTCAAACACAACTTGTTAGGCCAAGTATTCTAGATTACACTAAAAACCTGAGCAAACAGAGAAGTTTGCTCATGTTGCATATGTTCTCAGTTACATGGTGCTGCATAATCTTGCAGTGTGCTTGTTGCTGCTGCTCCAGTTGATTAGATGAACGCAAGGGGCTTTGACATAACCCAAATCATCTGATGTCTGTATGACATGCAACAGTGAACTTAAAGCATTCCTCAACAAAAGTATAAATATTTCTCTATGGTCCACCAAGGAAACACTTAAAATGTCTCCTAAATTTTATGGGCTACTGGAAATAGAGTTAAAGCCTTTCCTTGACAACGTTTACGAGCAGTGCTAAGAAAAGCACTGAGATTTTTGTCCTGAGATAGTCGATATGGTGGGTCTGTTTCTGCGTTATCAAAAGGAAAACTACAGAAAAGAGATTTACTGAGCAAAATCCTTATGGGACAACTATTGTTCCTTCCTTTCCAGGGGAGCAACAGAAGAACCAGAGGCATTTGCTCTTGCCTGTAGTGACAGGATCTGGTACTGGCACCTCCTGGGCAAGGTACAGAGGATCTGGTACAGGCAACCTCCTGCCACGAAGGAATTCACTTTACTCCATGAGCRAGGGAAAAGCAGTGCAGTATCCTCTGTCCTCAGAGGTGAATGTGCTTGAAAAACGTTGCCTAGTTAAGTCAGGGCTGCTGCATAAATGACTTGATGAGCAATCCTTCCTTGAAAGCCAATTCTCCTGAAGTTGTTGGGAGCTACAGGGAACAACCTTCTCTGCAAAGCAGCTCTGCATTGGTATTGAATAGGAYGCCAAGAGAAGTTCTCTTTATTGTCTTTAAAGTATTCATAGACTACACTCAGCTTTAATATGAGCCTAGGGCTTAGAATTGTCTAGATTAGTCCAAATAGTATAAAAACTTAAGTATCACTGCTAAACTTGAATATCATGCTGTCTGGATTGTTTTAATGTTCTTCCAAATGCACATATAATTCACTGTGACATATCCCACATTAATAAAAGCACAAAAATAGTAGAAAWCCATTTATTATTAAAACAGATACTGAGCAACTCACATAGATAAAAATGTTCTAAAAGTCAAGAGGCATATTTCAATCTCAGATATAAATAAGGGCAAAAGCAGCAATATGTTTGCAAGATTAAAACCAGTTTCCACTTTCAAATGGCAGGAATGGACACCGCAGTCTTCCTTAAAGTAGAAATAACTGCAGACTGGATTCTGATTTCCCCTTAGAGTAAATCAGGAGTAATTTCATTGAACTCAGTGGAATCACAGTAAGATAAATGTGAGTAAACTCAGAATCCGACCTTGTTATAACATTGTTGTACTTATGTCTTTTAGAAAAACAACGATGCAGTTTGATGAAATGTGGAGGGTTTTATCATTACAAAACTATTGACACAGTCCCAATAAAACTAGCATACTACCAAGAGAAAGTGTGTATTCACTGCAAGCGTTGCCACATATTACTATGTACATGGAATGTGAAGTCTGCCCAGTTTAGCTAGGCAAAAGAAAAGCTTCTGGGTACATATGGAAATCTTTTATAAATAAAAAGCACAACCTAAACGAAGCCAGTRGTAGCACTCAAGCACAGTATGCACCGATGAGCCACAAACCAGCAAAGATACTGCATTCACTTATATACATGGCTTGGATTTTGTCTATGAGTCACAATATTTAGAAAATGGTATGTGCATGTAGTAAGCAGTAACTTCATGTCTTCATTTAGTACCAAGAACAGCCCACTTCTTAATGAAAGAGAACCAGAATGCAGGTTATGAGAGAGCCTGTGGTCAGGGGGTAACAGCACATCCTTCTCACACCACATTTCATCCCCAGCGCAGCATGCACACATTACCAAGGCAATCCTTCCCACACTTCATGGAAAAAGGAAGCTGCTCCTGCAAAGTAAAAGGAGAGGCCTGCAGCTTTTGTGACATGTGGTGTGGCACTGGTGAAGTGAAAGGCATGTCACATCCAGGAAGACAGCTTGCGAGATGCTTTCCTCTCCACTGAAAGGCAGGCCACGTGTCAGGAAATGCTTCACTATAAATGCAATATGTTGCTAAGCATTTGGTCGTGCATATGAGTATTAGAGGACTATAAGTCATACAACTGTATAAATGTTAGGATTTTGTGCCTGTAATAGTCATAATTAAAAAAATGAGAAATATAGGCACATATATGCGTATATATCTCTCTCATCTTCTTCTTGGAAGACTGTTGCACTCCAAATTTCTAGAGGAGTTTTTTTGCATTATATAAGCTGAACGAGGATTACGACCAATAAACAGTGCATCCCCAGAGACTCATAATGTATACATTTATGTTTACTATATGATTTAAAAATAAACTGCATTGATCTAARTTCGTTAAGTGGTGATAATGGGACTGTGTCAATTTTAAATAAATATGGTTTTTACATTAAAATCTTTGCTATGATTTGGTAGCAAAATCACTATATGAAATCTAAGTAAGAAATCTTGCATTTCTTAAACAATTCAGTAAATGATTTTGCTGGGAGTAAATATAATCTTCTGTTTCAATCACACCTGAAAATGATGTCAAAGATGCCTCAAGGCTCATTTGCTAATAGAATTTCAGAATTTTGATAACTTTTTTTGAAGAAAATCTGGGCCAGTCTCTTGTCACACTCAGCACCAATGACTCAGTCAAGATCACAGAAATCAGAACTGGAGAAAGACTGACTACGTTTCTAAAATGAACAAAACAGAGCCTTTACTATCACAAGTCCAGAAATATGRAAAAGCAACATCAGAAGGGAACATAGCCTGAATTTTGCAGCTCCCTGCAGCTGCTTTAACATATTTACTTTTTCAAGTTGCTTGTGGTTCTCTAGCAGAGGGATCAGAAATGTTATCTGTGCTGCATATTCTGAAAGGTACTTTGCAAGAACTAAAAGTCATCATTGAGCTTCCAGTCATTAGAAGCATTCACAGAAAAAGGCTTCTCAGTAGTTACAGCTTCACACATTAATTTAATGATAAAAATGATTATATAACGGGAAAGCAAATTTTTACAACATGCCCTTAACAGGTAGAGCAAGTTGATACCACAACTAGCAGGAAGAGCGTAATTAAAATACAACTTCAACTTTAGATTAATAATCGAGCAATACACTAATTAAAATCAACAGTGACTGAACTTTCTATTTACACTAGTTCAGACAGCACAGGAGGCAAAGAACTGTGTTTCCGAGGCATATGCGAATGTTAGAGCTTCTGTCATCCAGGTGCCATTTCTGACAGAACACATGTGTGCCGAACAGTTGGCAAAAGAATGAAAAAGATTACTGTAGATATATGGGCACACAGAATCCGGGATGACATAAAATTAAGTCCATATAGGAGGTGACAGACTGCCTCTAAAAGGATAGTTTTTTTTCCCTATGATTTCTTCTATCTTTGTGCACGCACGCATGTGTGCACACATGTACAYGAAAGATAAAAAGGGAGAAAGAGAACAAGTGTTTTTTTGATATACTTTCAATACAAATGAAGAAAAGSCATTTTATTCGTTATTTCGGCTTTCTTAGGGAACGGAAAAGGAACTTAATTTGCCTATTAGGAAGCTTTGATTCCTCAATCTAGTCAAGGCAGCCTCTTCTCCTGTGAAGTCTGCATCAATACCCATTATCGCAATAGCACCTGGCTTTTGACATCAAAGTTTCTCTGCCTGAGGAAAAAATAATGTAAACACTAAACTTCACGTATCATTCCGCAGCTCCTGGCTTCGGTGTTAACCAAATGTGCTGGCGAGGTGCAAACGTTCTTCCCACATTTTGAGGAGCTGTAATGTGAGAGTGACTGACATATTGCAGACTTTTCTTATGGATTTGGACCGCAAGAAATGGCATCATTTGTTGTCTCACAGTGAAGGGACTATGTGTTCCTATGTAGTCTTGTTCCAGCCGAAGGAATCTTGATGATAGATTCATTGCATCTGCTAGTTTTCATCTGGATCCAGATCAAGGTCAACTTCATTGGAAATGTTAAGATAAAAGAAAGCATAGAAAGCCAACAAAAATATCAATATAGCTACAAGGACAAGGGCAACTTCCTGTAGGAATGAGAGAGAAAAAATAAAACACACAATGTTAGAAATGGTATCATCATTTCAGATAAATAATGAACAAATGTTATTTCTCTCGTATAACACATCCATGTAACTTCTCTTTAGACATGTGTACTTCACATAATGCATTGCTATTTTAATGATTTTTTCTTCYTTCTTTCTTCACCATTTCAGAATGTTATCATTCACATAATAAAGATTTAGGTAATATTTTGATATACTCCTAGAAATAGGATATTTGGCTGTAAAGATTTTTGATACAACCCAGAAATAGCAGCTTGTATGTCCACTTATACTACTTCTTTTTTTCTTTTATTTTGTTTTTAAGAGAACACAGAATTTGTGAAACCACAGCTTTGAATACAGATTCRAATTATGAATTTACACTGTGAATTTTGATGTTTTCTAGCAATATGTTACTGCTTTTTGCCAACAAATTTGTAATTTTTTAATGAAGCAAACACAGTATGGTGGAAGTCAATGAAAATCAGTATCTCTACCTCCCCATCTCCTGGCATGCTSTAATACAGGCCTACAAAACCTTCAGAATGGGGTGAAACTTTCCCTGCTTTTTCACTGCAATGAAGTGAAAAAACACCACAATTCACACTCRCCTCTTGCATCTTCCTTAATTAACTTAAAAGTCTTCCAAAGTGTACATGATCAATAGTATCTTTCATAAACAGAAAAATGTTTTTGTAGTAAACGTCATATTCATTATGTGACTGCCCATCATGATATCTTGTCTTAAGGCTGGACTAAGTCAAGCTCAACTTTAGATCTCAGATATAATGAATCATAGTAGGATACCCTCTTTACAACATCACTTCTTTCAAAGTTGAAGTGTTTCTGACCTTTAAGATTTCATTTTCCTGGAAAGCACAACACACTTCCTGCAGTATCGAGTCTCATTTTGTTAGACAATCAAGGAAGAAACGTAGTTTTGAGAAATGGCCATATGTTCCTTCAGTTCACAGAAACTGCCACTTCCACAGCTAACAGCATGCATTGCTTCCTTATCTATCATCATAATGTGTTCTTAAAATCATGCAGGGGAGGACCAGTCTTCCTCAACCACCTTCCTTCCACAGAACAAAGCATCAAAACCTCCCCAAAATCTCAGCTTCATCTTAAACAACAAACCATTTGCATCAAAACAAACACATACACTTCAAAGGAGAAAASAGAAGTAGTTGAGGGCACAGTAAATAATATGAATTGCTACAGAACATGCTACGTCAAATCAATTCTCTTAGTGGGACTGAATGGAGTTGTCTACACATGACCTGGACACCTACACATCTTTTACCATCAAAGGAGAGAATCTGACCCCTTTTGTTTAATGCATTGTGTTCAAAAGCAGATATTTAAAGAAGATCGGGTGAATACTCCCTAAAAATGACTATTTCTCCTCTTTAATGGTAAAGGGMGTATAGATGAGTGTCTCTCTGGTGTAGACATCTGAACTGCAGGATGAACAGGATCCTACATCTCCAGATTCTTGATAATTCTGTAACTTTCTGTGTATACTGCCATGAAGGAGTTAAAACTGTGTTAGCTTCACTTCTTAAAGTCTAGCTCATAATCTGGCATTCTTCTATAGAACAGAATTTCATTTGCATTTACATGAACGCATTATATAGTTTATCAGAATGTTGGATCAATAATTCAACATATGCCATCTAATAAACTTTGAAATACTCCTGCTTAGTTGGCGTGTGCTCTATATGAGTCTTTGCTCTATAGAACCTTTTGCTTTACATTTTACAAGGATGATTAATTGATATGTATTTTAAATTTATTTTAACACCTTAAAGTTGTTCCTGTAAATTTGCTGAAGCTGCTTGCTAGAGATTTTAAATACAATTTCCTCTTAGAATTATATTGCTCTTTGAGCCTTATTCTCTTGATTTTATATGATTTCATTAAAAAGAAAAAGAAATTACATTTAATTCACCGACATATTAAAGGAAAGTGATTTTTGCTTTGTTGCAGTTGCAACACGTCAGCATCTCACAAAAGGGCATGGCGGCATCAGACAGGTTTCATTTATTTCCTTGTATCCACAGCTGTGCTCCCAGACCCATCTGGCCACACAGCTACTAATCTTAAGAGGATGTAATAAACAAGTGACATACAACTGCAAGCTCCATCTGCTCCGCAGAGTGGACAACAAAACCGTACAATGCAGGCACCGTTCACACTTGACACAGAGAGCAAATTCATTCCAGTATTACCAAGGGTTTTTTTTTTTTTCCCCTTGTTTGGGTGCAATGCTTGCCAAGCTTTCTCCTTCACAATTAGTTCCCCTTTCTTCTCCCKTCTCCCCACTCTCCCTTGCAAAATCATGGTGAAAGGAGCCAAACTAGAGGGGAATGTTTACACTGAAGACTTGTTCCCTATAAAGTAGAACTGGGAAAATTCTGATTTTATTCTCAGGCTGCCCCATAACTGCTCTGACTGAAATCGCTCTTTAATTCCTCTCTGACTAAGCTTAACACTGAGATAACATTACTACTTGCCTTACATGGATGTTAGAAAATGTTTATGGATGGAACGATATTTATTAAACTCCAAGGGTGAAAGGGCTTATGGATGTAAGCATATCTGTATGTCCAGGGAAATTCCAGGTTTGAGAATTATGCAAGAACCTCAATTTTGAGTTATTTCCAAAGGCAGAATAGCRAAAATCTTAGGAAGGACACCTGGCTCTCAGTTAGGGCTCTGCAGTCCTTCAAGAATTACATCCAGTTTAGGAACTTTTATAAACATAAATTTTGCAAGGTAAGTGGCAAATGAAGCACCACACCACTGAACTGTTTTTCAAACAACAGTACATAGTGTCATTTTAATTAGTTTTATACTTCTCAGGTTTTGCTATTTGTATTTTAAGCCATGCATAGAAATGAAATGTTAAAATATTCCCCACTCTGCTTATATAGCTTTCTTTCTTTTGCACTTTATGGATCATCCCTATCATCCCTCTGCAAAATCCATTTACTCAGAGGATTTCACCATGAATAATTAACTCATATATAAAAAGTCCTATAGAAATAAACTTAAAATGATCACAGGGCTTTTTATGCTTCCTCTCTATTTTTTTTTGTTTGTTTTATAATATGGTATAGAATGTTAGAAAATCATATTCTTGCTCTTGAATTTCCAAGTACGGTCAAACAAGCCTTTAAAAGGAACATAATTTTCTATTTTATTCTCTTATATTTACGGTCATTTCTGTAGAACCATACTGACTTTATCATTGTTAAATTTCTCAGAAACTTTTCTATAAAGAAAACATATGTCATTATGGCATAAAGTAGATTTTTCACCTTAATGGTGCAGAAACTTAAATGAGATTAATCAGGAGATGAAAAATGGTGGGCAAGGTAGGAAAAAATATTGGATAAAATAACCCAAATTGGACACTGAATAAACAATATTGTATAATATATTTATATATAAATACCATATCCTCATGAAATGTTCAGGGTTTTTTTTGTATTTTTTTTAATTGTCCCTGCAAAAGAAATGTACCTTTTCTATCTGACATAATTTTAAGACTAGATGAAAGAGCACCACAATTTCTGTCTCTGAAATGCTGCACTATTCCTGGTCATTTCTGAAAAGGCATAAAAAGCAGCAATTGACACCAAACAAGGATAGTTGTCTTTTGGGGAAAAAACAAAAGAAAAACATATACATGACATTCACAGTAAGTCTTTTTCTCATGTATAATTTCTATCTGGAAGACTTCATGTGGATATCCAGCGTGCCAAATTTTTAGAGTTTCGGTAAAACAATATTTAAAAATTGATGCTTACTTCCTTAACACAGTGCATTCTATATCTAATGAAGTTAGCAAAGCTAGAAGATCTTATAAGAGGCAAAAAGAAATTCACAATTCCAAAAAAAAAAAAACCCAACCCCCCAACATTCTGGATCAAACAGTCACGGAAACACATTTGTTTTATATAAGTAGAATATTTCACCAGCTACTAGTATGTAGGTTTAAAAAACATAAAAAACAATAATTTCCCAAAATTTAAAGATTGGGAACCTAAATGTTCTAGGTAAATGCATGACAAAATCAAAAAGGTGGTCAGTACTTACAAAAGGGGGACCTGCCTTAAAAAGCTGTGACTCTAAAAATGTTCTTTGGATTTAAGGGATAAGCACTACCTCAGCATCATGATCTCTGCATAAGCAAACAGGGGATTACCATTAGGGAAGTGATCGGTCCTAAGACCATCACTAGATCACTATGTCAAGGGCTAGAAATATGCCTCAAGATCAAGTTCAAAAAGAGGTCATTAAAATAGATCAAAGGTCGGAAAAGAAWCCTTACGCGGTCAAGCTACAGGAGCAAAATGCATTTGGTTTATTATACACAACAATTACAGGTAATTTGATTATGGTCTAGTAAATTACTATATATTTGGATTTAAGAAAAATGATCTTATCAGTCACACAATCACAGAATGGTGGAGGTTGGAAGGGACCTCTAGGGATCATCTAGTYCAACTCCCTTGCTCCAGCAGGGACACCCAGAGCATATGGCACAGGGTTGCATCAGCCTTGTCGTCTCAAGAAAGTCAAATCCTCCAGGTACATGTCAAAATAAGCTCAATCTGAAATAAAATGTCATTTCCCAGGAGGAAGGATGATGGACCATTTGAATTACTTGTTGGGAAGATCATGGACTTACCATGGCTGTTAAGCCTTTTAAGGCAGGACCTCAAAAAAAAAGTATGCTTTGATTTAACTTTTGGAAAGAATACTTTGGCATCAGCATGTGTGAAAAGGAGGTCCTGGCTGCTGGCTTGGGAGTCTGTGAACTCAGCCCTCCAGATTGCTCCCCTCCTTCTGGACCATGAGAAGAATGGGGCTGCTTGCATTGTCAGCATTATACTGTGAAGCTCTGAAATTCCAGCTTATTAAAAATAATGACAGCTCATGCTTCAGACTTTTCTATAAAAGATCGGAAGAGTCTCCTTCTCTTCCGAGCAGAACTCTCTCCAATTGCATTGATTCAGTTTTGGGGACTTCTTTTTGTTTGTTCGTTTGTTCGGTTTGCACTCAGCTATCCTTTGAAGTGTTAGAGATTGGCCACAAACAGGCACCAGAGCTGAGAAAGATGGACTATTACTCTGACACAGTACAGAAAATCCTCCTAAGCTTCCACATGGTGCATCTTGTTCACATGCTTAAAGCATGTGATTATTTATGCCCAAAGCATCTGATCACTGTACTTATGTGTACAGGTCAGGCCAGGTCAGGTGGGAGCAACCTGATTCGTTTTTTGTCTTTGTTTTTCTTTTCCTGTCCATCTCAATGCCAGGGAACATAGTCTGACTCCTGGCATCACTAGGAATATTACACTTTGTTTTGCACATTAAACTACCCTGTTCTGTATGTGAGGCATGTGAATTGGTTTGAAGGCCCAAATACTTTGGCCCTACTGAAGTATTTGGGCTTCCCAGAAGGTATCTGGATGAAATTTTATGACCTGCGACATACAGGAGGCCAGATCTAATGATTTAATAGTCCCTTGTGGCCTTAATTTCTACAAAGTTATTAAACTATATTCCCAACACATCTTGGCAAATGAAATTCACTAACTTAGCAGGTTAAGAACAGCACGAAATCAGAGAAAACCCTTTGCCAAAATACACTAGGAATGTTTTGTTATCTATTCATGCATAACTTGTTCCAGATGAAACAGATTCTTCATAGTGAACTAGCTAGCTAAATAATAGATTAAGTAGATATGCAAAACAATGACAGTCAGCAAGTTCCCATTTTTTTAGAAAACATTTTCCCCTYAGCTCAATCAATGTATTATATAGCTAATGATTCTCTACAGACTGGTATTCTGTAGTTGTTTTGTCTTTGAAAGTGAATTTAAAATACTACTGTTCAGATTTGTGTCTGCCTCTCACAAAAAGACAAAGCTCCATCATCTCTTACACAGACCACTGACTCATTCTTGCAGTCTTGTTAAAAAAAATCTCCCCCCAAACTCCTATTACTTTTGGCTTCYCTGAATGATGAGGGCATACAACCCCCCTCCCAGTTGTACAGGGCTGAATTTCACTTTCCTCGAATTATTTTCTTCTTGTCACCCTCAAAATGAGGCTCCTTCCTTCAGCCACTGAGAGCTGAGCTGCCTCTGACCATGCAGACTCCTTGCTGCTAGGACATGGACAACCAGCTGAAGCTCCTGGACGATGACACCAGCTCTGTGGGACAGCAAAGCAACCACACAAGGAAGGTTCAGAGGCTCTGTTTCTTGGTCTTGGTACAAAGAATTTGACTTGATCCAAATACTGAGACACACAGAGCTTTCTCTCAGACTTGTTTCTCAAGACAGGTCCCTTCCTCAAGAGATGTTATTTATTTTGGTGCTATTTGCATTAGTGTCAATTATGCCAATTATCAGCACAATAACTCTGTTACAATACCTGATTTTTTAACATATTTAAAAAACAAATACTGCACTATGAATGCTGGAATGGTCACCCTACTTGAACTACCTTAGTTATTAGAGTTTAGTTGCTTCTTTGACATTATCAACACAGAAAAAAAAATCCCTCATTAAGGAAAAGTACTAAATGGAAGTAACTGAAAGAAACTTTGTTATTTTAAATCCTGYATTGAAATGAAAAGGTGATCAAAGTTTGACAAGACAAGCTAATTAGTATGCCAGCGATGAAATGTGAAGGATCTCCTGGGGATTGATTCTGAAAAGTTTTATGTCATTTACAGGGCCTTTTCTAAGCACATATTGTCAGCTCTTACGGTGAAATACACAACAGTGGAATTTCATTATCTTCATAGATATTGATGACTAACTCCAGAGTGCTCTAATACTCTTCTCTTTTACCTGAGGTGTGAAAAAAAATGTTATAATCAGAAGATAAAATCTTAAAGATTTTTGCTCCTCTTTTATAGAGGGCAGAGGCAAAATTGCAAACGTAGAACATCACTGAAACTAACTGAACTCCAGTGAACAGGGTGTGCCATGAGCACATGAGTATGAGTGCACCTTGAGAGCAAAATCATTCTTAACTAGAGCAGAGCAGGCATTCTGCTATAGTATGCAGGAACCTTTGTGCAAAATAAGTTGTTGTTTTTCTTACTCAATAACATTCAGTTTTTCATTATATATACAATTATATGCAAGCTTACCTGTTCTCTGTCTTTTTAAAGAAAGAATTATATACAGAAAAAAAAAAAAGGAACAAAATACATTTGGAAGGATCAAGGCTCTTATTTTTCTCCCTTGTAAAAGACATGCAGAAAAAAACACATTTATAATAGAACTAAGCTGTACAGTACGAGTCTCCAAGTAGAACATCATTTTTAAAAGGTCATGTCATTGAAAGTAAAATGAAAAGAAAAAGTAAAATTTAATAAGGAAGGAAGGAAAAAAACACATTGAACTCAAAAGGTTAATAATCTATCCTTTAAACAAAAAAGGCAATCTACTTTTTCTCATTAAAACCTGACACACAGCACTAACTGAGGAGATTATGTTGTGAAAACATACTGCATCGCACGGCAATGCTTGATCGAGATCAGCAATCAGGAGCAAAAAGAAAGCACTGTTTCGTGATTATAATGGCAAATTCTGGAAGACAACCAAATACATCATCTGGCAGCTCAACAGCTGTTACAGCTTGGTAGTAATACCTTGGCATTTGCTATAAGCTATAACTTGAAAAAAATGATTTCTCATCTGCCAGAATGAAGACCATGCTCTCTCTATAACATTTCTGAAGTTTCTTTCACTTGGATAGCCAGGTATTTGATTCACTTTATTAAAAAAAAAAAAAATTTTTTGCATAATTTTAACTCTGCCAAGTTAATTCCGTATTAGTTTAATTAAAAATAAGTCTGAGGGAAAAAATATTGCATGCAACTTAAATAAACAGTGTATGTTCAGCCAAGTATATTCATGACATGCTGGGTAGGAGAGATAGTAGAAAATATTCCTAGTTGTCCTCCTTGTTCACATTCACTGCCACGATTAATTAGTCGTTATTATACTTTACACCCACCTGAAGAAAGGACAATTCCAAAATAAAGTTCAGGACCTTTCTAGGTGTTTCGTTGTTAGTTAAGTCAACCATTTTTTTCCAGTCACAGGCAGTACACAAGGCTGTCAACTGAGATAACAGTGCTGAGAACTTAGCAATCTTTAATAGCCTTGTCTTTATATTACTCCCAGGCAAAAGATAGGAAGAGAAGGGAGGAAGATGTTTATTGTCATTTTTATAACTGTGTAAAATCATGAAGATTTTTTGTGTGTCTCTGTGGGTGTGTAGTGGTTCTCTGAAAATATCAATTTCTTAAGCATATAATACTTTATTGACATTAATGTAAGTATGCACCAAAACAAGGACAAGGGCATAAAATCTTTTAATGTTTCAGCTATTCTAGTTATTTTAGGGTTAAGTAAAAGCAATCCATCATAAATATTTTAGATGATAGCATTCCACTTAGATTTTGAAGTGTCATAAACAATAACTCTCAGAAATCAATATTCACACAGTACATCTATGGGGAAAAGAAACAACATATACAGAAAGGTGGTATAAGCTATCAAATGGTTTTCTACCTTTACGCCTAGTGCAGTTTTCTTGGCCTCTGCTTTTAATCTTGTTGCTCTTAACATTGGCCTSGTTTTCTTATAATCTTGTTTCCCTACAATAGAAAAAAAATGGAAATGAGGCAAACAAGGTAAGGAATATTAACTATTATTTTAGTTTCAATGATAAATCTAACATTTTGAAAGTACCCTGTGGTTGAGCACTTACGAAAAGGGGCTCCTCTGTAACACAGGGGACTGAGCAGTGGAGCAATGGTCTTTCAAACAAGCCGTGACAGCAACAAGCAAGAGGCAGTAAATCACTGCAGAACCTATTGCTCCAGAGACATATCAAAACACCAGTACTGATAGCCTTCCAATAGTACAATATTTATTAAATTACATTGTTCAGTAAATAACTGGCAGTAAATACAYAGATTAAAGGAGGATGATATTTTTTCACTCACATTTCAATCAGAACAAAATTTTCATTATATGTTTTGTGGGGCAGTCAGCTCTATTGCATACGATAAGTGTGTAATACATGATCGTGAGTGTAGAAATCAAATGATTTCATCATTTCAAAACAGAATATTTCACAAGTAGTACCATTCAGTCATGCAGGCCACTCCACGTAAGTACTAACAAAGCCACACCATGTGCCTGTATGACTGTATTGCACAGAATCTTCTAGAAGTGGCTTAGAAGGACCTCTAAAACGTTATGGGGACTATCACTTGCAGCCACCGAACAGTACAGCCAAGGCTTGAATGCTCTGCTTTCATATGAMCGGAGGTTACAGGAGGACATGAAAATACTTAAAATTGGCCTAAATCATTTATCGCAACTTAAAAATAAAGCCTGAAATACGTAGACATCTCTCAGGGGTATTTTTGCTGTCTAAAAGGCCTATTATTGCAGTACTATTAACCATATGTAACCATATGTACTATTAACCGTAGCAGCTCCAGCGCAACCGAGGTGCTCATACAGTCACAGAAGAAGGAGAAAGAGGAGAAAAATCCACGTAGTTCTGCACAGAGGGGCAGCACCTCAGCACAACTGCTTTGGCTTTTCACAGAAGTCCTTTCTGTTTTTTCCCCTAAAGCACTTTTATGCCATTTTTGCTATTTCTCAAGATGGACTACAATGCTTGAAGTGGAAATCTTCTCTTTTTGGTTCATGTTTTACCATTAATTGTATCCAGTGTTACATCTAGATATCATCAGTGACACATCTGAATAACTTAATTTGTCCTCTAAATTGGTGCCCAGTAGTTTTGTTCATGCAACACTCCCATTTGCTCAACTATATGCAGACATATCCACAAATAGTAGGGCAATCTTCTTATTTTATGGTTTTCTTAAAAATGTAGATAGTACAGTGCAATGGTGAAATTGTAAAAAGTGAAGTAGAAAAGAAAAATCTTCCCTGGTGATACATTTGATTCACAGAGACACACATTTCCTCTACCTTATCTATTAGAGAAGCTCTTTCTCCTTCATCATCCTGCTCATATTCAATGCAGAGATCCTCTCTGTGTAGTATATTATGGATGCTGAACTCATTCGATTAATTTTCTTTTGCTATATAATCACTCCTCAGACTAGGGAATTATATACTGTGAAGAAGTTTGTATTATCTTTTGATCAAATATCATTCATAAAAGACTTGAAATAATTTTAGAAGTACTCAATGATACAACTGAAACCTTATCTTTTGAACAAAAATGTACACCCAAGCAACCTTCTTAGGGGATGGAATGGAGAAGAGATGACAGCATGACTACTGGTCTTCAGTTCCAATATATTAATCCACTCAGGGTATTTTAAACACAGTAAAGGAGCACTGCAGCATTATTTTTTAGAAATCAAAGATATCTAATAATAGCATGCATCAGTGAGTGGAGTATAGTAATTTTATTGAACAATTAGGGAAAAATTTGCAAGAACAACCAAAAAGCTAATTTATGAGATGAGGGTAGTTCTAAAGAGAAAGTGTTGTTCCCCCTGAAGTATTGCTGTGGTACAGTTTGCTATGAAATAGTTAAGGATCTGTCAGAATTTCCATTGTATAGAGCATGAATTTGTAAGTTATAAAGATTCACTCCAGGGTGAAATTTGGCATAGAACTATCCCAGCCTTGACTTTTTTTGTTTTTTTTTTGTTTGGAGCCAATTTTCAATAAACTAATGCAGCTGTTCTAACTTACTTGTGAACAAAGTACATAAATTTATTCATCTGAGATTTTTTAAGCACTAAAAATATCTATAGCTTAGAAGCAGACAAATGAGAAGGACTAGGTTCAGTTTGAATTCTTGGAGCTCAGATTTGCTGTCCTCGTGTGAGGCAAATAATGCAAGATGACGAGCATCATGACCTACACTCAAAAAGATTTTCCTTACAGAGATGCAATGGAGTTGATTAATAAAAATGGGAAAGCTTCATAAGGCCGATTAGGAATGAGGCACAACTTAAGTACGCTACTGAAAGCCCCTTCCTAACATTCCGCTTTCTTCCTCCTTCTCTCCAAGGATAAACCATGAAGAACCAGGGTAAATATCACACAGGAGACACATATTCTCCAAAAACTGTCAGTAGGGCCAAGTCTTTTCCTAGAAAAGGAGAGTTTATTGGTGTTCTTTGCATCAGTTTCAAGCACTCTGGTACTTTTTATTCCAATATTGCCGTTATGGCTAAGGCTGAATTGTACTTACTCAGAAATACTTCCAGATTTAAATTAAAGTTGATATGAACAACTAAACCTCCCTACATAACAAATAGGCTATTTTAATAATAACACTGAAGCTTGTAGTTCTCCAAATCTATGCACCTGTCATTAATTTACCACTCTCTTTGMTAAATGTGATAGCCAAAAGAAAAAAAATATTATATATACATATATATATATATATGTGTGTGTGTGTGTGTTTGGGAAGCAGTCTGAGTCCTCCAAGTGCAAAAGTTTAAAAAGGGCATCTGTGGAGTCTGTCATAATGAAAACCAGATTCAGCAATTGCACTAAAAGACTCTTAAAACATGTGAACTTTGTAAGGCCTTGGGAAAGACATCTGCACTACAGGACTATAAAGAACTATGAAATACAAAGCCCCTACCATGTGAACGTTGATCATTACCACCTGGAAAGCAAGCAKAAATAAATAATACCATATCCCTATGTTCTTTTGGGCCTGCAACATGTTGGAATATGTATCTGCACATTCCCAGTTTTGTCTAGTTTTATCTCTTATCCTGCAAGCTTTCTTGTACATTTATCTGTCAGAGTCATCACCCTAAGCTGTTTCTTCTTCCCAGGAAGYGACCATCAAGGCCAGTCAGGATGGGCTCGTCAGACAAAGCCCCATTTGTCTGCCTTACTCCATGTCTAGTCAAGACAGACACTGCCCTTTCCTGAGGGAACATAGGAAGGCAAGAAGAAGCCAAAGGATGGAATTGGAACATTTCCCGAMCAAATTGTACTTTCTTTATGACATACACAAAATCCTTTCCTCTTTTACTTTTTCTTATTCCCATTATCATCAATCCTTCATCTCTCCAACTCCCTCACTGGCTTTTCTATTTTTTTTTTCCAACTACCCCAATTTTCAGGTTTTTGATAAATTTCTCATTTCTTTCTTTTCAGCTTTTCCCAAATCCATCACTCTCTTTCCACTTTGGAGGCCAAAGTACTAGTCCATGATAAGGCAACTTCTCTTAATGACTTAGAGCCATCTCCTCCCTTATGTCTTGCCTCTTTCCAGTTGTTCCAAAAAGCACATGCACAGATCATCCACTTTCCATTTCAGTGCCTGAATTTTATTTTGCCCTGCAAAAGCTCTCCAGAGCTTGCCCTTGAGCTCATCCTTTCTTTTTCCACTCTTGCCTACACATTGTCTATTTTTTTTTCTATTCCTTTGTTGGCAGAGTGGCCTCTGTAGCTGCTGAACTGAGTTGTGTCCATTTACAAATTCCCCTTTGAAAAGGTTTTATGAGTAGAACCTAGGTCTGTTTTATCAGTTGTAGAATCAGAAAAAGATGAAGACAAGGGTGAAAGACAGGCACTTTTTCATTTACAAAACACAGATGTATTGTGAAAAATGCCAAAGTCCCCCCCCTCAGAGCACAAATGAGTGTTTCATCAAATATGCAACATTAGTTTCTATCTCTGAAGAAATACCGTGACCATGTGTATCAATATCACTAGTTCTGCATACATCCCCTTTGCATATATATCTGCAATGTCTGTAACTGAGTATGCAACATGATGAGCACTATATTTAAAAAAGATTGTCTACCTGTCAGATTGTGATTTTAAAGATGCAGTCATTTAGGACACAGTCAGAACAGAATATATTTTAGCTCTCTCATTCTATAGAATAAATTCAGGAAAAAAAAAAAAAAKAGAGAATTCCCGACTTCTTCTATATATTTACTCCTTCGTTCTGACAATAGCTCATTACCAGGATTGAATAACAGATTAAAGACTGCCTCTCTGCTTTTCAATTCATCAGGCTTAAGCAGAAACAGGACTGCATCTTTGGCCTCTGTTGATACTGCTGTCCAAGCTTATTATCATATGAATATCTAGTTATTGTTTTATAAATGTTCACATTTCAGGAGCTCCCTGCTTCTTTTCTCTCAGTAGACTTTACAATATCCACCTTCATTATCATCATGTGGCAGCACTGCTCTTCGCCTGCATTTGCTACTTTAAAAATTAATGCACTGCTATTTTCTGAATACTGTACTGCGTAAGCTGCTTATGAGTACATTATGCTATCAAGCAAGCACATGCAGAAAAGCTTCCTAAACTGTTATTCTTTCAATGAAAATACAGCTGGTTCTGCTTCAAAGGCACTTCTTTTCACCTGCAAATGGACTTGCTCCTACACTTATTCCTCAATTCATTGTCTTTTATTTGTGTCTGCAAATCTTTAATTGCCTTTAATTAGGAAAAAAAAAAGTAAATTCAGTGCTTTAATCTTGCAAATACAGTCAATCATAATTCTGTCTGGGATGAATACCAAGTTCCATTCACTGACTGATCTTTATAACAAAGGTATATAAATTTATTGTCCGTTTATATAGACCACACCAATTAAGCCACAATGGAAAAG